AGAGACAGAAAAAGTCAGAACACTGAGGCTTGGTATACACTTAAAGCTTTTACTGGCATTGCTATGTCAATCAGGAGTGTGAAAAAACTATACTCTTGACCAACATAGCTATGCCAACAAAACTCCAGTGTAGAAGCAGCTATGCCATCAGCAAATCAGATCAAAACATTGTATTTTGATAACATTGAGAAGTTTTATTTTCATTTTGATTTTAATTGCTTTTATAACAAATTTTGAAACAGTTGTTTTGAAACAAAAAGATCAAAATGTTCCCTTCCTATATTGTCAAAATGGAATGCTCCAACCTTATTGAAATTTTTGTTTAAAATTTTTCTAAATGAAATTTCATCAAAATTGACACACTCCCAAAGAATGCATCAATTTTGATGAAACAGCATTTTCCAACAGGAAAATATTCCATCAGAAAATTTTCAACCCACTCTAATTTGAACCACTATGTGCACATGTTGATATATTACACTCTCCATATCCATACATCAAGTGGGTTAGGTACCAACAGTCTAAAGTTTACATTCGGTGCCATGAGTCTTATCTTATTTGTAAGAAGTGTTGTTCTAAGAAGTTACGTCTCACAGTGTCTTGAGATACTTACTCTGACTAAACTTTATGTATTACTAGCAGTGGATAACTGATTCCAGGAACAGATATAGTAAGTATAGCAATACCACTGTGACACTGAAGTTGTACACATATCCTGAGGCCTTATTGCAAACTTAGGGAAAATTCCCTGCCAAAGACTTGAAATAACTGAGATGACAGAGTTGATTTTTAGAATTCTTGAGGGGGGGGGGGGGAAATCAAAATTTCTTAATGAGATCTCATTAAAAGAAAGGAAATACATACAAATTTCCCTCTCTCTAACCCTCTAACATGCACCCACTGCTCTACCTTCCACTTCTGTGAGGAGTGCTGATGTTTAGATACAGAATATTTCTGCTTCAAACAAGGACAACAAAAGATATGAAAGGTCACACAGGCAGGTTTTGAAACTTGTTTTTAAAAGTGATATCGGTTATAGAGCACATAATGGTCTCTGGCTCTAGCGACTGGAGTTGCTCAAAGATTATTTATATGCTACTACTGTTGAAAGCTACTGAAGATTCCCCTTTATAGATGAAACTGTTATTGGTCATGAGTTACATCCTTTCCATTTGCATCAGACCTGTTCAGAGACAGAACCCTCCCTTTCATCCCCCCAGGATACACAGACCCCAAGGAGTTGCTCTGTGGCACCTGTGACCCAGGCTTCTGTTTCACACCCTCCCTCGGCACATCAGAACCTCATTAGTTCCACTGCCTCTTGGGCAGTGCGTACCTGTGGAGTGCAACATTTGCCCTACATGCAAGAGATTCTCCACTAGCTTTCAATGGCAGCAACACTTAAAGCCTCTTTTCAGAACTCCTGTACTATAAAATGAGATCTTTACATGCTTCCTCCGTTTTACAGAAGCGCTCAGCTCTGAACACACAAGCATAAAGACCTGGCATACATATTGTCCCAGCAGAACTACATCCGACTGACTAAAATCTACTAACTAGGGCCAATCTGTCCATGCTCGGACTTCAACCAATTTTACGGAAAATAGATCTTGTCAAACAATCATCACTGAATAGGGGTGTTTCTAGTGATGTTCTGCAGGGATCAGTACTAGGCCTAACACTACTCAGTATTTTCATCAATGATAGGGTTACCATACGTCCGGATTTTCCCGGACATGTCCGGCTTTTGGGGGCTCAAATCCCCGTCCGGGGGGAAATCCCCAAAAGCCGGGCATGTTCGGGAAAATCCGGAGGGAGGGAGGGCTCGGCCGGGGTCGGCGGTGCGGGGCCGGGCCGGGGTCGCGGGCATGGTGCCGGGCCGGGAGCCGGGCCGGGTGCGCAGTGCCGGGCCGGGGGCCAGG